GACTGGAGAGTGACCAATATTGTACCAAAAGAACTGTGGATGCTGTAAATCAGGAACAAAAACAAAGTTGCTGGAAGGTTCTGAGGAAGGGTGACCGGACCCGAAACGTTAACTCTGTTTTCTCCTCCACAGATGCTGCCAGACCTGCTGAGCTTTTCCAGCAACTTTGTTTTTGTGACCAATATTGTACCTTTGTTTAAGAAATGTTGTAAGGAGAAACTGGGGAACTATAGACCTGTGAGTCTGACTTTGGTTGTGGGTAATTTGTTGGAGGTGATTATAAAAGATAGGATTTATGGACATTTAGAGAGGCAAAAATTGATTAGAAATAGGTCAGCATGGTTTTGTGTGAGAAAAATCACATATTACAAACTTGCTTGAGTTTTTTTAGGAAGTTAACATTAAGGTTGTTGATGGCAGAGCAGTAGATGTTGTTTAGAGATAGTAAGAACTGTTGAAGTCAGAGATAATAGTGTGGAGCTGGAGGAACACAGCAGGCCAGGCAGCATCAGAGGGGCAGGAAAGCTGACGTTTTGGGTCGTGACCCTTCTTCAGAAATGGGGGAGGGGGAGGGGAGCTCTGAAATAAATAGACGAGAGGTGGGGAATGTATCACCATCCCACCTATCTTCACCAGCCCCACCCCTCCTCTCCCTATTTATTTTGGAGCTCCCGTTCCCCTCCCCCATTTCTGAAGAAGGGTCAAGACCCGAAACGTCAGCTTTCCTGTTCCTCTGATGCTGCCTGATCTGCTATGTTCCTCCAGCTTCACACTACAGTAGATGTTGTTTATTTGGATTTTAGTAAAGCCTTTGACAAGGTGCAGCATGGTAGACTAATTATTAAAGTTAGGTCACGTGGGATTTAGGGTGAGCTTGCCAATTGGATGATTAGCTTAACGACAGGAGACAGAGAGTAATGGTGGACGGTTGCTTTTTAGACTGGAGGCCTGTGACCAGTGGTGTTCCACAGGGATTGGTTCAGGGTCCTCTTTTGTTTGTCATTTATACAAATTACAAAGGGATCTTGGTCAAATGGATCAATGGGCTGAAAAATGGCAGATGGAGTTCAATCTGGATATATGTTGGTAAAACTAACAAGGATGGGGCTTATACCATTAATGGTAGGGCCTTGGGCGGTGTTGTAGAACAGAGGAACCGAGGGGTGCTGGAACATACTTGTTTAAAGTTTGCATCCCCTGTGGACCGGATGGTTAAAAAGGCATTTGGCACGCTCGCCTTCATTGCTCAGTCCTTTGAGTATAGGAGTTGGGACATTATGTTGAGATTGTACAGGACATTCGTGAGGCCTCTTCTGGAATACTGTATCCAGTTCTGGTCGCCCAGTTATAAGAAGGACATTGTCAAGCTGGAGAGGGTTCAGAAGAGTTTTACCAGGATCTTGCCAGATACGGAAGATTTGAGTAATAAGCAAAGGCTGGATAGGCTTGGGACTCTTTTCACTGGAGCGTAGGAGGTTGAGAGGTGACCTGATAGAAGTCTGTAAAATAATGAGAGATATAGATAGAGTTGATGGTAGTTGTCTTTTCGGGGAATTTCAAGACTGGGGAGCACATTTTTAAGGTGAGAGGAGAGAGATTTAAAAAAGACTTGAGGTAAAATTTTTACAGAGAGGGTGGTTCGCGTGTGGAATGACCTTCCTGAAGAAGTAGTGATCATAACTCTGTTTCTTTCACAATAGTCATGGATAAAGATAGGTACATACGGCAGGGTAAAGTTTATAACTGGGGGAAGGGTAATTACAATTCAGTTAGGCAAGAACTGGGTAACATAAATTGGGTACAGATGCTGTCAAGGAAGAGCACCACAGAAATGTGGAGATTGTTTAAGGAATGCATACTGCATGTGCTCGATATGTTTGTCCCTAGCAGGCAGAGAAGATGCGGTCGAGTGAGGGAGCCATGGTTCTCGAGAGAGGTCGAACAACTGGTTAAGAGGAAGAAGGAGGCTTGTGTAAGAAGGAGGCTTCTTAGGAAAAGAGGAACGGAAAAGGCTCTAGAGGGATACAAGTTATCCAGGAAGGAGCTGAAGAAAGGGCTTAGGAGAGCTATAAGGGGGCATGAGAAAACCTTGGCGGATAGGATCAAGGAAAACTCCGAGGCTTTTTACACGTATGTGCAGAACAAGAGAATGACCAGAGAAAGGGTAGGGCCGATCAAGGATTGTAAAGGGAATTCGTGCACAGAGCCTAAAGGGATAGGAGAGGTCCTTAATGAATACTTTTCTTCAGTATTCACAACTGAGAGGGACCTAGTTGTAGAGGAGGACGTTGTGAAACAGGCAGGTAGGCTCGAGGAGGTTGATGTCAGTAAGGAAGATGTGCTAGGAATTCTGAGGAAGTTGAAGATAGATAAGTCCCCCGGGCCTGATGGGATTTATCCAAGGATTCTATGGGAAGCGAGGGACGAGATCGCAGGGCCTTTGGCGATGATCTTTTCATCTTCACTGTCCACGGGTATAGTGCTGGAAGATTGGAAAGAGGCAAACGTCATTCCCTTGTTCAAAAAATGGAACAGGGATAACCCCGGAAATTACAGACCAGTTAATCTTACGTAAGTGGTGGGCAAATTATTGGAAAGGGCTCTGAGAGACAGGATTTATGATCACTTGGAAAGACACAGTTTGATTCGTGATAGTCGGCATGGATTTGTGAGGGGTAGATCATGCCTCACAAACCTTATTGAATTCTTTGAAGAGGTGACCAAACACGTGGATAAAGGTGGAACAGTGGATGTGGTATACATGGATTTAAGTAAGGCGTGTGATAAGCTTCCCCATGGTAGGCTCATGCAGAAGGTAAGGAGGCATGGGATAGGGGAAATGTGGCAGATTGGATTCAGAATTGGCTGACCCTTAGAAGACAAAGGGTGGTAGTGGACAGAAAATATTCAACATGGTGCTCAGTTACGAGTGGTGTCCCACAAGGGTCTGTTCTGGGTCCTCTCCTATTTGTGACTTTTGTGAATGATTTGGATGAAGGAGTGGAAGGGTGAATTAGCAAGTTCGCGGACGATACGAAGGCGCGTCACGTTGTGGACAGTGCGGAGGGCTGTTCTAGGTTACAAAGGGACACTGATAGGATGCAGAGCTGGGCTGAGAAGTGGCAGATGGAGTTTAACCCTGAAAAGTGTGAGGTGATTCATTTTGGAAGGACAAACTTGAAAGCAGAATACAGGGTTAACGGAAAGATTCTTGGCAGTGTGGAGGAGCAGAGGGATCTTGGGGTTCATGTTCACAGTTCCCTGAAAGCTGCCACCCAGGTGGATAGAGTTGTTAAGAAGGCGTATGGTGTGTTAGCTTTCATTAATAGAGGGATTGAGTTCAAGAGCCAAGAAGTTATGCTCCAGCTATACAAAACCCTGGTTCAGCCACATCTGGAGTATTGTGTCCAGTTCTGGTCACCTCATTACAGGAAAGACGTGGAAGCGTTGGAAAAGGTGAAGATGAGATTTACCAGGATATTGCCTGGAATGGAGGGAGGGTCTTATGAGGAAAGGTTGAGAGAGCTAGGTCTTCTCTCTTTAGAATGACGAAGGATGAGAGGTGACTTGATAGAGGTGTACAAAATGATCAGAGGTATAGATAGAGTGGACAGCCAGAGACTTTTTCCTAGGGTGGAGGTAGCTTTTATGAGGGGGCATAGTTTTAAAGTGAAAGGAGGTAGATATCGGGGAGACGTCAGAGGTAGGTTCTTTACTCAGAGAGTGGTAGGGGCGTGGAATGCATTGCCGGAGAGGGTAGTGGAGTCGGCCTCATTAGGGGCATTTAAGTGGCATTTAAGCGGCTATTAGATAGGCATAAGGATGATAGTATAAGGTAGCGGTAGAGGTTAGATAGATCTTAGGTTTCGGGTAAAAGTTTGGCACAACATCGTGGGCCAAAGGGCCTGTACTGAGCTGTGCTGTTCTATGTTCTATGTTCTAAGTGGTGGATGTGGGTACAATTATAACATTTGGTTGGATATTGAATAGGAAATGTTTGGAGGGATATGGGCCAGGAGCAGGTAGTTTTGTATTATATTCTGCATGGATTGGGAGGATCCAAGGGTCTGTTTCTGTGCTGTATGACTCTATGATTGGGTGACTTTAGTAAGGCTTTTGAGAAGGACTCCCATGTCAGGCTGATACGAAAGGTGAAGTCACATGTGAACTTATGCATTTCTGCACCATTGAAATTCATTTGTCAGGTGTCTGCTAATTTGGCCAAATTGTCAATATCTGTCTGAAATCATTCAGCATCATCCTCACAATTCACTGTATAGAGACATAGAAGATAGGAGCAGGAGGAAGCCATTTGGCCCTTCAAACCTGCTCCGCCATTCTTCACAATCATGGTTGATCGTGCAACTCAATAACCTCATTCTGCTTTCCCCGCATAACCTTTGATCCCATTCGCCCCAAGTGCTATATCTCATCGATCCACTGCCTATGTCACCTCATCAAAGGACGCAATTAAATTTGTCAAACATGATCTTCCCTGGAGAGAAGAAGGCTGAGAAGAGATTGGGTGTTTTAAAATCATGAGCGAGCTGGACAGAGCAGACAGGGAGAAGCTGTTTTCGGTCACATGGAAAAAGAAACAAGAGGGCATAGACATAAAGTGATCTACAAAAGAAGCAAGTTATGTGAAAAATAACCTTTTCACTCAGTGAATAGTTAGGGTACAGAATGCACTGCATGGAAATGTAGTGGAGGCAGGTTCAGTTGAAATATTCAAGAGAGCATTGATGTTGAATCGGACAAAAATAACGTGGAAGGATTTTGGGGAGAAGCAGGATATTGTCACTCAGTAATGATGCTCAATGGGGAAAATGCTTGAAGAAATAGCGAGACGTCTAGATAGAAATTGTCCCATTGGCCAGACGCAGCATGGGTTCATGAAAGGCAAGTCATGTTTAACTAATTTACTGGAATTCTTTGAGGACATTACAAGTGCGGTCGACTCAGGGGAACTGGTAAATGTGATGTATCTGAATTTCCAGAAGGCCAGGGGACTGTATACCAATATACAAGACTGCCATTTGTGGTATCATCAGCTGGCGCCCTCTTCCAGCGGGCCATGGAGAACATTTTACAAGAACTACCCTAGGTTGCCATTTATCTGGATGGTGTGCTAATAACTGGGAAGACCAATAAAGAGCACTTAGAGAACTTGGACGGTGTGCTTCAATGTTTCTCCCAGGTGGGGTTACGCCTTAGATAGGAAAATGTGTGTTTCAGGTGCCCCAAGTGACCTGCTTGGGTTACGCTCGTTAGAAGAGAAAGTGAGGGTGATCAAAGGAGCTGTGGCTCCCACATCTGTACTGGAGCTTAGGTCTTTCCTTCAGTTAGTGTATTATAACAAAAAATTCATATGCAACCTGCCTTCCATCTTGGCAACCTTACACCTGCTATTGAAAAAGGGTCAGTCTTGGAAATGTACATGCAGTCAAGAAGCAGCCTTTTGGGAAGTGTAAAAGCAGTGATGCCTCCCCGTTGGTATGGAGGTAGGGTTGGCCCAACAGAGAGGAATGCCCGATAGAGTATGCTTCCCGGACTCTGGTTGATGCTGAACGGAAGTATGGCCAGATAGAAAAGGAAGGTTCAGCAGTACTTTTACGGACAAGAATTTGTAATAGTAATAGATCAGAAACCCCTGCTAGGGCTACTGAAGGAAGACAAGGTGGTGCCGCCCATAGTTATTGGCAGCATTGGGCCCTTATTCTCAGCGTGGACAAGTATAAGTTAGAACACTATCCAGGAAGCCAAGTGGCTAATACAGGTGCTTTGAGCTCCCTTCCATTGGCAGATACTCCACTGGTGGTGCCCCTCCCCTGAAAGAGTCCATTTTGGTTTTAAACTTCATGGACAACCTTCCAGTCAACATGGACAATATCAGACTATGGATACAGAAGGATCCTGTCCTAGCAAAACTAAAACAGCTGGTGTTAATGGGGGAAACAGAAAGGCCATTGCTACCAGCACTGAAACCTTTCTGGACCCGGCGAGACCAGATCACCGTAGAGAACAGCATATTACTGTGGGGAGCAAGAGTGATTGTCCCGAGTAAAGGTTTGCTGCTAGATACTGGCCAAACTCCACCAGGGTTATCCAGAGGTTTCCAAGATGAAGATGCTGGCTGGAAGCTATGCCTGTTGACCAGGGTTGGATACCTACATAGCTGCATTGCGTTGAGCAGTGCCCAGAGTGCCAATAAGGACAAAAATTGCCACCAGCAGCACACCCATATTCATGGGAATGTTTGGGGAATCCGTAGGCTCAGTTGCATGTCAACTATGTTAGTCCTTTCATGGGCTCTATGTTCCTGGTCATTGTGGATGCCCATTCAGAGTGGTTGAACATGCATAAAATTTGTTCAGCAAACTCAGGAATGACCATTGAGAAGCTGCAGGCATCGTTTGCAATACACGGACTCCTGGAAGTATTAGTAATGAACAATAGGACATTATTAACCAGCAGATAATTCAAATATTTCCTAAAGACCAATGGCATTCAGAAAATAAGGACCGCTGCATACTATCCCTCATCCAATGATCGAGTGGAATTAGCCGTCCAAACGTTGAAGGCAGGCTTAAAGAAGTAGTCTACAGCGTCACTTGATACCAAACTACCCCAGTTCCTGTTCAATTATAGGACCACCCCACACACAACAACAGGGATAGCTCCAGCAGAGTTGCTGATGGAGAGAAGACTCTGCACCAAGTTATTTCCAGACCTGAGGGTGGGGGAGGGTGAAACGGCAGCAGGAACGCCAATGCTGGCCACAGACCTCGTCTAAGTGAGAGAGGCAATTTAATGCAGCGGATGAAGTTTGGTGCTGGAACCGGAGAAATGGCCCTGTTTGGGGACAAGGTGAGGTTAACGTGAGGTAAGGCCTCATGACTTACAAAGTTCGGGTAAACGATACAGTCCTGAACAAACACATGGAAAGCTGTTACCTCACAATGGGGCAGGAACAAAACATACCTGGCCCCTCAGAACAACCAGAAGGCCTGTCAGAACCAGTAGGTGCTCCCCCTCTAGTGTCGAGAAAACCTCAGAGTCCAAGATGGATGCAGCCTTGATACTGTTACCGTCTGATACACGCAGCCCATGTCTGAGTCTGAGTCAGAGGAACTGGACATGGGGCAAAAATGTCGCAAGAGAAGCTACAAGTAAAAGACCTGGCTCACGTCCCTGGACTTGGTGGTGGTGGTGGTGGGGGTGGGGGTGGGGATGGAAGGGGAGTGGTTGTAGTGTTTGCATCCGGATGGATCTTGTTGACTACAAGGTTCTTTCCTGGGGTTGTTAACCTGGGCCAATCAGGAAAGCCTAGGCTGACCAACACAACCAGGAGATTAGAATCTCCTCAGTTGAGGACTGACTCCGAGCTGGCCATAGCCAGTGTGCTGTGCAGAAGTAAATAAACGGTAACTAGGTGACGGGAACCGGCCTCTGTGCAGTTATTTCAGGAATCAACCGAGTGAACCTCCTCTGCACCCCCTCCAGTGCCAGTACATCCTTCCTCAAGAAGACCAAGACTGTACACAGTACTCCAGGTGTGGCCTCACCAGCACCCTATACAGCTGCAGTATAACCGCCCTGTTTTTAAACCCCATCCTTCCAGCAATGAAGCACAATATTCGATTTGCCTTCTTAATTATCTGCTGCACCTGCAAACCAACTTTTTGTGATTCATGCACAAGAACACCCAGGTCCTTCGGCACAGTAGCATGCTGCAATTTTTCAGCATTTAAATGATAGTCCATTTTGCTGTTATTCCTACTAAATTGGATGACCTCACATTTACCAACATTGTACTCCATCGGCGAGATCCATGCCCAGTCACTTAACCTACGTATATCCTTCTGCAGACTTTCAGTGTCCTCTGCAGACTTTGCTCTCTACCACTCACCTTGGTGTCATCTGCAAACTTTGACACACTACACTTGGCCCCCAGCTCTAAATCATCTGTGTAAATTGTAAACAATTGTAGTCCCAACACTGATCCCTAAGGCACACCACCCATCACCAACCAGAAAAACACCCATTTATCCCCACTCTTCTGTCCATGCTAATACATTAGGAGGTAGATTTTGACTGGCATAGTCCTGATGGGCTGACATTTTCTGTATTGTAAAATCTCCATAAATATTATTCAAAATATATTTCTATTCATAGGGTCATAAAGTTGTACAGCACAAAAACAGACCCCTCGGTCCAACTTGTCCATGCCGACCAGATGTCCCAAATTAATCTCGTCCCATTTGGCCCATACCCTCTAAACCTTCCTATTCATGTACCCATCCAGATGCCTTATAAATCTTGCAATTGTACCAGCCTCCACCACTTATTCCATACACGCAACATCTTCTGTGTGAAAAATTAGTGTCCTTTTAAATCTTTTCCCTTTGACCTTTAATCAGTACTGTCTGGTTTGGACTCCCCTACCCTGGGAAAAAGACCTTGACCATTCACCATATCCATGCCCCTTATGATTTTACAAACCTCCATAAGGTCATCCTTCAGCCTCCAACACTCCAGGGAACATAGCCTCAGTCTATTCAGACTCTCTCTATTGCTCGAAGCCTCCAACCCTGGCAACATCCTTGGAAATCATTTTATCAGCAGCCTTTCAAGTTTAACAACATATTTCCAATAGCAAGGAAATCAGAATTGAATCCAAAAGTGGCCTAACCAATGTCCAGAACAGCTGCAACATGACCTCCCAACTCCTGCACTCAATGCACTGACCAATAAAGGCAAGCATACCAAATGCCTTCTTCACCACTCTTTCTACCTGTGACTCCACTTTAAAGTAACAACCCAAAGTCTTTTTATTCAGTAACACTCCCCAGGACCTTACCATTAAGTGTATAAGTCCTGCCCTGATTTGCCTTACCAGAATGCAGCACCTCACATTTATGTAAATTGAACTCCTTGGCCCATTAGCCCATCTAAACGAGGTCCCATTATACTCTGAGATAGCCTTCTTCACTGTCCACTACACCACCAATTTTGGTGTCATCTGCAAACTTACTGAACATACCTCCTATATTCACATCCAAATCATTTATATAAATAACAAAAAACCGTGAACTAACACCGATCCTTGTGGCACACCACTGGTCACAGGTCTCTGGTCTGAAAAACAACCCTTCACCACCATGCTCTGTCTCCTACCTTCAAGCCAATTTTGTATCTAAACATCTATCTCTCCCCATATTCCATGTAATCTAATGTTGCTAACCAGTCTACCATGTGGAACCTTGTCAAATGCCTTGCTGAAGTCCATATTTACAACGTAGACAGAATCCCATCCAACAACATTCCTACCACTGACTTAAAGCTCATCAGTCTGTAGGTCCCTGGTTTTTCCTTACCACCTTTCCTAAATAATTGTGCCACATTAGCCACCCTCCAGTCTTTCAGCACATCACCCATGGCTATTGATGATACAACTATCTCAGCAAAGGGCCCAACAACACTTCCCTAGCTTACAGTCAAAGAGGTTTACAGCATGGAAAAAGGCTCTTGGAAGCAGTGGGGGATGGGGAGATCACTAGATGAAATGAGATCAGTTATTGTCGTAGATACAATGGCCTGATGCGTCATGGTGGGGTCATGGTCCAGGGGAAGATAGGAGGAGGTAACCCTACCTCCTGTCAGGTAATCACCATCCCTCCTAACTTTCAGCTGTCCGATGCTGAACGTTCTGTATTCAGCAAAGGCCTCAGCTTTATTCCCCGGCGTCCCCACCTTAACAAATTTCGGGCACGACATGACACCGAACTCTTCTTCTGCTGTCTTCGCCTCCATGCTCATTTCTTTGGACAAGAGTCCTCTCCCTATCCCACAGACCCCTTCGCATAGTTCCAACACTCTCCCTCCACCTGGACCCCTCCCTCCGGCCTTTTACCTAAACTCGATCTGTTCATTGAGAACTGTAGGCGTGATATTAGTCGCCTCAATTTCTCTGTCCCTCTCACCAAATCCAACCTATCTCCCTCCGAACTGACTGCACTCCATGCACTCAAATCTAACCCTGATTTTGTTATTAAGCCTGCCGATAAGGGTGGTGCTGTTATAGCCTGGGGTACTGACCTCTACCTTACAGAGGCTGAGCGCCAACTCTCAGATACCTCCTCCTATCTTCCCCTGGACCATGACCC